ATATATATATATATATATATATATATATATATATATATATATATATAATAAAGTTCAAATGCGGCGGGGTCTTCCCGTGCGACGGTGTGGCGGAATTCCAGAATACACCAACAGTGTTAACAATATGCACTAACAGTGTAATAAAAACACACCACAATGAAATGCAATAAAACATCACAAAATACACAACAGACTAAAAAAAATACACCATATAACTCACCACCTCCAATGGTGTATTTCCGAACAGTGTATGGTGTTTTTACTCACACCTAATGGTGTGTGTTTGGTGATGCGGAGCTTTGTTTACTCTGTTTTGTGTTGTGTATTTTCCTAACGTTGATGGTGCATATTTGTTGAACTATTGGTGTTGCCGCACCGTAAGAAATCGCCGCACCGTAAGACACTGCCGCACCTGAACTCGCATATATATATATATATATATATATATATATATATATATATATATATATATATATATATATATAGTATTTTTTGAAAATCTATGACATTGTAAACTAAGAACTTGTAAAATTTTCAACATAAATGCACAACTACTAATTTAACCAAATTTTAAATTAAACAACAGATTTTTTTTAGTAGAAATCTATTGATGTACTTGTAATTAGACTCTTACTAGGTGTCTTGTATTTATATTCTGTACAATTTATTGTGAATGATAGTTCAGAATTCAATTCTCATCTAGTATCAGAGTCCGTGTAACCTATAATGGACGACATGGCAGAGATATTTGGCATGGCATGGTTCATAGCATCAGTATCCGAGAATCAATTGTGAGACCCCACCGAAGCAATATTATCACCACCCGAATACATCATATGAGCGTGCGGTCCGAAATTTTTAAATTAAAATACATGGGATAACACGATACAGTCGTATGTACTGTTGCAAAAATCGGTCTAGGCGCCCCAAGGCCGTGGAGATTTTCCCCCTAGGCGTCCGCCTAGGCGACCGGCCACCTATCTAGGTGCCCACCTTAACTCGTCCATTTCAGTCGAATTAGCCGAGTTAACTCATCCATTTCGGTCGAGTTAGCCGAGTTAACCCGGCCGACTTGGCCTTTCTAATTTTTTTTTTCATTATATATATATATATATATATATATATATATATATATATATATATATATATATATATATATATATATATATATATATATATATATATATAGAATAAAGTTCAAATGCGGCAGGGTCTTCCCGTGCGACGGTGCGGCGGAATTCCAGAATACACCAACAGTGTTAACAATATGCACCAACAGTGTAATAAAAACACACCACAATGAAATGCAATAAAACATCACAAAATACACAACAGACTAAAAAACATACACCATATAACTCACCACCCCCAATGGTGTATTTCCGAACAGTGTATGGTGTTTTTACTCACACCTAATGGTGTGTGTTTGGTGATGCGGAGCTCTGTTTACTCTGTTTTGTGTTGTGTATTTTCCTAACGTTGATGGTGCATATTTGTTGAACTATTGGTGTTGCCGCACCGTAAGACACTGCCGCACCTGAACTCGTATATATATATATATATATATATATATATATATATATATATATATATATATATATATATATATGACATATATACACCTACACATCTGCACTGTTTTTTTTTTAGTTAGCCGTTTTTTTTTTTAGTTAGCCGCCTAGGCGCTACTATACCGCCCGACTAACGCCTAACGCCTACTGCAACCTAGGTCGTATGCCCTTGGGTATTGCAAATTTGACAACGTGGATCATATCGTCACGCTTCCAACGCCCACGACTTCCTCGTTGTGGCGGATCAGAACCCCCACCACCGGATCGTCCTCCACGACGTACGGTCAGTGTTGTGGGCAGCGCTGATCAACCGAATTAATTGTGCAAATAAATTCCTGAGCAATTTGGCTAGAGTTACCGGCTCCCCCTTCGTCCTATTGATGATGTATTTTAATAGGACTCTTAATCGGTGTTTTTTATTTATAGTCTATACAATTTTATTGTGAATAATATTCCAGAATTCACTTCTCATCATTTTAACATACAAAATCTATAAATTAACAGGACCAGTAACTCTAATCTACAAAAGAAAATATATATACATAATCAATGTTTTGTTCTCAAAGTTCTTGGCAGTGGGACAATACTTTAAAGTTACAAATTAATCTAATATATATGAAGAAACTTTAAAGTATTGTTGATGAAAGTGTAATTTGAAACTTTAAAGTACCCCTAACTTAATAATCTTGATGAAATATTTATTATATGCTCCAATTATGCTCTAAATCTATTAGTGTTTTATTTGACAAACCTAGCTAATCAGGTTGAACCATGAAGCAGAATCATTTGCAACATGCATTGGTTCCTATAATTCATACATCCTCACCTTTATCATTATGAAATATAATTAAGCACCAAAGAGCTTAAACTCTAGGATAAATAAGATAAAAGGCCCTATTGTTAACATAGTTAGCTTATCAGCTAATTTTGACTTGTTTGATCACTATTTGTCGTTTGACTTGGTTAAACAATAAATATGAATGTTTAATTAATTAGTTTTTTTATAACAGTTTATTGCTTCAAAACGCTAAAATTCAAAAAACTGCTCAAAGTAGCTTTTTCGATAAGCTTTTTGAGAAAGCCATTTTGTTTGTAATTAGCTATCAGCTAACAACTAATTTACCAAACATTGCATCTTTCTACAATCAGCTAATGTTATCAACTAGTCAAACATAATAACCCAATCAGCTAACATCTATTCAGCAAACGCCCACAGAATATTCAAAAATGGTGGAGAACAAATGGATGAGAGACAACAAATCCAACACCAAGAATTGTGGAGACAAAAGTCCATCAAAGAGGAAGAATCCCCCATGTAGGAGGAAGAGCACTAACAGCAGGTGGAGAACACGTACGCCGCATGAAACGAATTTGTTCTACTTCAAATTAAACTAGTATATATCTGATAATAATGCCGACTTGAACAAAATTAAATAATGAAAAAACGAAAATTGTAGAATAAGAATTCCATGTGTCATTGTAAGATATATTATTATTATAACAGTCATAGTTCTTAGAGGAAGTCCCAAAGGGAGATTAATAATTTAACAATAGCGATAAGGCATTTCAAAATGCATGCTTTTAATTGATGGAGTGATGTTTTATTGATTGATTTTTAATTTGCGTTTGATTAATAAATAAATTTTTTAAATTAATAGTGTGCTTGATTTTTTTTTTTTTTATTGGAGTATTATTGACTTTATTTCAAGTTAATATATGTTCTATACTTTTTCTATCTCTTGTAGCCCAAAGAATCATCAATACCCCACTTCATTTACTTATAGATGTGTGTATGCTTCGCCGGCTCAACTAAGGGACAAAGTTCTTGAATGTCTACCATTCATTTGCTTTGTTCAGACCACCAGGTGTACTGAGCTTCTCCGGCTCGATTAAGGGTTGCAAGTTCATTTTTAACATATTGTAAGTTCAGTTTTTACTTTTTAGATCAAAATCTAGAATGCAAGATGAGTCCCAAGGTGAACGATATAATTTGCAGCTAAAGAATGTCCTGATGGGCAAATTATACTATGAGTCATGGTCCACATTACAATGTGAACCATTGATAAATGTTCTGAAAAAGCCCGTGTATCTTGAAATCAATTTAACACTAAGGATTCTACTTGATTTTATATTACTAGACAATTTCGCTGGTTAATTAAATCAATTCAATCAACATATAAATAACGAAATTGAAAGCGTAAATAAAGTAAAGACACAATAGAATTGTTACGCAGTTCGGAGCTCCTTCTCCTACGTCTGCGGGGCAACCCACGTCTGCCCAATCCACTAGATGTTCACCACAGAGTATTACAAGAGGTAACTACAAACGGCTCACAACCTTTACCACTACAACTCTTCTAAAACACCTACTCAGGACTGAACCGTGCATGCCATAAACATCTTTGGTGTAGCACTTCAGCTGTCACAGGTACTAACTTGTAGTACAGGTTTAAATCACAATTAATATAATCAATATTAAACCAATAAAGTAGGAAGCTTGCATATGAGATCAGAATTTCAGAATTGGCAACTTCCTCTTTCGATTTCCCTTCCTTATATACTGTACGTGAATTCCATTCCACCAAGCCTTGATTGTAGCTTCATATGTGGCTTGAATTCTTCTCAACCACTCATTCTTTAATTTGAAATCTTCAGACTTGCTTCTTTGTCCAATTCATTAATAATAAATCTCCACCACACATTTTAGCTTGGTCCAATAATACTAATTACAAATCAATTTTAATTAACATTCCATATTAATAAAATAAACTAATAAATTAGCCAATCTAATGTGTACTATTTTGTACACTTACAATCTCCCCCTTTGGCAATTTATTTGGTAAAACAATAGTATCATTATACTTTGGGAAAAGGTGAAAATATTTTATTAACATCCCATAGTATACGTACTGAACATATAAATGTGAAATTAAATTCTCTTAATACCAGACCAAAGCTTATTTGTGGGTGGAATTTTATTTTGACCTTGGTTGATGTTGACTCACAAACTTCATCCAATCATCCAATTAATAAATAGTGAATCATGCACGAAAAAAGTGTTGTATCAAACATACCATATATGTCACGCTTTCCAATGAATTACTCCCCCTAACTTGGTGCTTTCCTTTCTTCAAATGCGTTCCAAATAAACCCAATTCATACCATGCAGTCAACATACCAAATATACCAATACATTCATACTTTCATATTTAATTCATTCATAGTCATCCCAAAAATAATTTATATAGTCCCAAATTATTAATATACCATCCGAACCAGGATTAACATCCATACCAAAATATTCCAAAAACCAAAAACTTACCAAATATCCAAACATTCCAAAATACTCCCCTTTTCTCCAATACTCCCCCTTTGTTTATGCCAAATAAATGACAAACAAACCGGTGAACATCATTCTAGTGGATTGGATTAACTTGCAGACGGGGTGCCCGACTCAGATTCATCTTTCTCAGAAATAGAACCAGTGCCAGTGCCAGGGTTAGATCGAATCCGAGCATAGATAGCCTCCATTCTAGCGATTTCTTCCAACTGAGCACTCAACAATTGTTCTAAGCCATCAATGGTTATTTGTTGAGAAGCAACCGAGGTTCGGACTTGTGCAATTGACGCTTGAAGAGTGAGAACAATTTGACGCCGATCCATGAGCGTCGGAGGTTCCTTGATAGCTGTCGTAGGACGGGGATTCGGTGCAGAGGCAGTGTCAGCTGATGATGCAGGGGCAGACACAGAGGGCGTGGCAGTTGGTGCGCCGGGAGTGATCAAAAGCGTAGCTCTATCATCATAGTGATCCTTATTTGTCAACCGATCATCATATTTATAGACTGAGGCATTAGTGATCACCTCCTCATCCGTGTAGGGCTTGAACCCGTGTTCCTGTAGAAGTCCAAAAATGAGGCTAGGAAATGGTAGGTGTACCTTAGGTTCCCTATGTCGCACAAACTGAGCAAGATGGCCAAATATGATTTCTCCAAGATTGAGTGGAAGCCTGTTCCTGATCTTGTAAAGAAGGGCAGCAAGCTGGTCAGACACAAGATGATGACGCACAGCAGGCATCCAATTTGTTGAAGCAAGCCGTAACAGAACAGAGTAGACCGTGGTGAGTTTTAAGCTTTCAAGTCTGGTGTTTGGCCAAGTGACGATCTTGTTGTGAGTTAAAGCAGCGGCTAGGAGATTAGGACTCGGGTCAGGAGCAGCTTGATGATTTGGAGTACCCAAATAGGAATTAATTGCTGTCGGGCTTAAGGGATACCATTTATCCCGAATAAAGACTTGTTGAAATCGCGGTGACCCCTCCGAAAATGTATCCAATGTTAAATTTGTGTAGAACTCGGCAGTGAGCCATCTGGAGTACGGACCAATATGAACAAGTGAGGCAAGCAGGTATTGATCTCGCAAAATAGGCACAATGTTGCATTTTTCTGTCAATTCCTCTACATTGATGGATTTCTCCAGAATAAAATCCCTAGTAGCATAAACATTCCAGTCAGACATCAAATCTGGAGACAGCAAAATAGGATGATATTTCTTCTTGGGTTGTTTCATCTTTGAGCCAGAGCGGGCAGTAGCAGTTGCAGGTGCAGGGGCTGGACTTGGTACTGGGCCTGAAACTGATCTGGATCTTGTCATTCTGAGTGGCAATGTGGACCCTCTTTTTGATTGTTTGGAATCAGACAAGTAGACAACATCCTCCAATGCTCCAATTTTTCTTTTCTCGGCTGTACCTGAAACAGTAGTTTTTTCTTTCCCTTTTCGGGAAGATTTGCCCACGAGCACAGAGATAATGGGAACAGAATCATGTGAGGTGGGCACAGGGATGGGGACCTCTGCTGATTTCGAAACTGGAATGGTTATGGGAATAGAAAATGTAGCACACGCCATGGGAGACACATATTGATTAATATTTCGAATGGTGAAGGGAGATGACACAGCATGCATTAAATCAGATAAAGGCACAAGATTTTCAGGTAATTTATGTGAAGAAGACTCATACGGATCACCTTGTAAAGGAATGGAAGGGGCACACAATTCACTTGAGGTGGACACAAACTGACTTGGCAAAGAGATGTTAAAATCTAGTTTTCTAGAAGCCGAAACTGATTCATCTAAGGGAGGAGACTACCATGGTTTCCGGGAATGAGAGCTTCAACTCAGATTGTGGCGGAGGCGGTTTGGTTGATTCGGCCGGAAAAGTCCACGGCTCCACAGATATGAACCTAGCCAGTGCTTGGATCTGTTTGACTTCCCTGTCCGAGAGTCCTTCAAGAAGGCCTGCATGTTGCTTGACCGTTGCAAGAACTCGATCCGTATCATCAGATGTAAGCGGAGATTCAGCGTTGATGATGTGTCGAAAAAGCTCCAATCTTTCGGATTTGGTTGTGAAAATGGCGAAGGGATTGTCGTCTTCCATTGTTGAAGGTTCAATGTTTGAGAGTGGTAAAGTTGAAGATGAATGATGTGGGTTTGGCGTGTAAGTGCAAGAAAGACAATAAGGCTCTTTAATTAATGAGCTTCTCAAAAGTTGTGATGGATGGGATGAGTGATGTGACTAGTTTGTAGGGGTAGTAGTAGAGTCATATTAGGAGAGAGTGGTGGAAGTTGTTTGAAATTAATATTTCAATACATATTATGTAATGGTGGAATTAATATATAGATAAATAAGGTAGCCGAGCCGAATTAAGGAAAAAGTAGGTATATGGGCGAGAAGAATTAAAACTAAGTTGGAAAGATTTAGAATTTTCCTGCAAACATAAGAAAAACAACAACTACGTTAAAAAATAATTAAAGATTATTTGTTGTACCTTTGTTGATGATTAAGTTGTAGGATTGCAAACACCAAGGGCAGCTCTGAGCAGTTCAAATCTCGATTTGTCTAACGGTTTGGTGAATAGATCTGCAAGATTTTTATCTGTTGGAGTATATTCCAAGATAATTTATTTCTCTTCGACTAGCTCACGAATAAAGTGGTGTCGGATGTCTATGTGTTTTGTCCTCGAGTGCTGAACTGGATTTTTTGAGATGTTGATTGCGCTGGTGTTGTCACAGAACAATGTCATATTTTGTTGTTCTATACCATAGTCAGTTAACATCTGGCGCATCCAGAGTAATTGTGTACAACAACTACCCGCCGCTATATACTCAGCTTCAGCTGTGCTGAGTGAAATCGAGTTCTGCTTTTTACTGAGCCAGGCGACTAGATTTTTTCCGATGAAGAAACATCCACCTGATGTACTTTTTCTGTCGTCAGCATTTCCTGCCCAGTCAGCGTCACTGTATCCTGCAAGATTCAGATTAGTATCGTTCGAGTACCAAATACCATAGTTTATTGTACCTTTAACGTATTTTATAATACGCTTTACCGCCTTTAGGTGTGACTCTTTTGGATCGGCTTGATAGCGTGCACACATACCAACACTTACCATAATATCTGGTCGACTGGCTGTTAAGTACAATAGGCTGCCTATCATACTTCTGTACATAGTAGAGTCTACAGATTTTCCTTTTTCATCTTTGAACAATTTTGAAGTCGTAGAGATAGGAGTACGGGCATCTTTTGCAGATTCAAGCCCAAATTTGGATAGAAGATTTTTTGCATATTTTTCTTGCGAAATAAAAATCCCTTCTTTAGTTTGACTTACTTGTAGTCTAAGAAAATAGGTTAGTTCGCCTATCATGCTCATTTCGAACTCTTGTTGCATTACCTTGACTAGCTGGTCTGTCTCTCCTGATTGTGTGGATCCAAAAACGATATCATCTACATACACTTGAGCAATTGTTATGTGTTTACCTGATCGTTTTATAAATAACGTTTTGTCCGATCCTCCTCTTTTGTAGTTGTTCTGAAGAAGATATTGAGTAAGTCTTTCATACCAGGCTCTTAGGGCCTGTTTTAAGCCATAGAGTGCTTTTTGTAATTTGTAGACATAGTCTGGATGATGTGGATCTTCAAACCCTTTTGGCTGAGCAACGTATATGTCTTCTGAGAGATATCCATTTAAGAAGGCTGTTTTAACGTCCATCTGAAACAACTTGAATTTTAGGGCACATGCAATCGATAGGAGTAGTCGTATTTACTCTAGCCTTGCAACAGGAGCAAAAGTTTCGTCGTAGTCAATTCCTTCAATTTGGGAGTAGCCTTGGGCTACAAGTCGCGCTTTGTTTCTAGCGATGTTGCCAGCTGCATCGGTTTTGTTGCGAAAGATCCATTTGGTACCTACAACATTGACATTGTCAGGTTTGGGAATTAGAGACCATACCTTATTTCGTTCGAACTGTCCCAGTTCTTCTTGCATGGCCTTGATCCAGTGTTCATCTGTTAGAGCTTCTTTGACATTCTTCGGTTCGATCTGTGAAGTATAACAAGAATATCCCGCTAATTGAAGATAATCACGTTTCGGTTTACCTCTGGTTTTTACGCCGGAACTAGGATCTCCAATTACGTTTTGTATTGGATGAGCTTTCTGGATGCGAGTAGGGATATCAACGTTACCATGATCGGTATCAGATTCAGACTCAGACTCAGTTTCTTGCTCTGGTTGAGTTGAGATGGGAGATGGCATAGGAGACTCTGGATTAGGTTCAGGACAACTTGTGTCAGGTTCTGTCACTGGTTCAGGACGAGACATTGTGATAATGTCACTCGGTTGATCATCGATTACAACGTTTGTGGACTCCATAATGGTTTTGGTAACTTTGTTGTATACACGATATGCCCTGCTGTTCGTTGAATAGCCGATGAAGACGCCTTCATCGCTTTTTGTTTCAAACTTTGCGACAGGGTTTCGATCCTTCAAGATAAAACAACGTGATCCGAAAATGTGAAAATATTTAATGTTTGGTTTCTTACCTTTCCATAATGTATACGGAGTCTGATTCGTGCCTGGACGTAGATAGACCCGATTGATGATGTGACATGCAGTATTCACAGCTTCTGCCCAAAATTTTTGAGGTAGTCCTTTGGCATTGAGCAGAACTCGTCCCATTTCCTGAATTGTGCGGTTCTTTCGTTCAACAACTCTGTTTTGTTGAGGTGTTTTCAGAGCTGAGTATTCATGTGTGATTCCTGTTTGGTTGCAGAAGGTATCGAACAAGTTGTTGTCGAATTCTCGTCCGTGATCACTTCGGATTCGAATGATGGGCTCATTTCTTTCTTTTTGGAGTTTTAATGCCAAAGTTTTAAAGGCTTCGAGGGTTTCGGACTTGTCCCTGAGAAAGGTAACCCAAGAAAAACGAGAATAATCATCTACGCAAACTAGTATGTATTTCTTACCTCCAACACTTTCTGTTTGAGTTGGACCAATGAGATCCATGTGGATCAGTTCCAAGCAGTGACTTGTGTTTATAGTGTGCTGCGCTGGATGAGAGGATTTGGTTTGCTTTCCTGCTTGACATGCACCACATATGGTTGGTTTGACTTTCAGCTTGGGTAATCCCCGAACACCTTCGGTTTTCACAAGTTTGTCAAGAAGTCTATAACTTAGATGTCCTAGCTTTTGGTGCCAAAGCTCAGTTTCATCTACATTGATCCTGCAACACAAAACATTGTTAGTAAGAATATAGCAATTATCAGTTGACCTTGTACCTTCCATAACACATTGATTTGCTTTGTCTAGGACACTGCAACTATTTTTGTTGAAGCTCACGTTCCAGTTCTGGTCACACAGTTGACTTATACTTATAAGATTTGCATGAAGTCCTTTGACTAGTAGAACTTTCTCCAGTTTTGGCAGACCAAATACGTTTAGCGTGCCTATACCAGTGACTTGTCCTTTTATACCGTCGCCAAAGGTAACTTCACCTTTGCTTGTGTTTACGTTACTCAGAAATTTAGCATTTCCCGTCATGTGACGTGAACACCCGCTATCAAAGTACCATTTTTCTTCTCGGCCTGTACTTTTGGAGTGAAAGGATACGAATGAGATATAATCTGTCTTTTTAACCCAGATTTGTCTTGTAAAGGGTTGAATGTTCTTGTTTTTGAACTTCTCGATTCTTTGATCCTTGTAGAAGAAGTAGCATTCTGGTCTGGTATGACCACGTAACCTGCAATAATGACATACCGGGTTATAGGATTTATAATATGGCTTGAGTGATCTTACTGTACCAACACGATGTGTCGCTGTGCTAGATTCTGGAATATCTCCTCGACCAGGACCTGACGCTTTGACAAACACTGTTTTATCCTTTGAGCTGTTTCCTGTGAATCCTAGACCAAATTTTGTAGATGTGTTTCTTCCAGACTCAAGGATCTCATCAAGAGTAGACGTGGTATCCATCATTTTGATTTGACGTTTGTAAGTGTTCAGCTCCTGCTTCAGAGTCTGTACCTCTTGTTTCAGTCTTTCTTCTCGGGCCAATGCCTCTTTGAGAAGTAGATCCCTGTCAGCTATTTGAGTTTGATACACTTTCTTTGCATTTGTTACAATCCCTATTTCACTAGTTAATCTACGATTTTCTTTTCTTAGTGCTGCCCATTTGGGATACAATTTATTAAACTCAATTTCAAAAGATGATTCACTTGAATCTAAATCTTCTGCAGAATTATACTCGCCTCCTTCTGAGTCAGCAACATCTTCATGACACGGTTTAGCAGCCATCTGTGCAGTAAAGGCAACAAAATTCCCAGAAATTTCGTCTGAGTCAGATCCTCCTGTTTCACCGTCCGAGTCATTATCACTCCAAGTAACTGCTGACATGGATTTCTTGCGTCGAAGATAGGTGGGGCACTCTGCTTGTACATGTCCGAAGCCCTCACATTCATAGCATCTGATCCCTTTACTGGTGGATTTCTCTTTGGACTGTCCTGGACGTGAACCAGAAGACTTGAAGGTTGATGAACCGGATTTAGAACTCGCTTTAGATGATGACGCCCCCTTTTGCAT